CACGAGCATCCCAGGCCCTCCCTGGATGAGGGACAAGGAACAAGAGTTAGGAGAGATGGCTCAGTCCAGTCAGGTAATACTGCTTCTTGGCCTGGGCATTAGCTAACGTGTTGGGCCGTGTTATCCAGATGATGGTGAGGAAGATGTTCAAATATGGAAGGGATTGCTTGAGAATGATCCAGCAGAGGCGGAGGGATGAGATGAGGATTGGTGTGAGGAAGAAAATGCCACTGGTGATGCAGGACGAAGGACGAGGTGAGAAGGATTGACGCTGGGAGGCAAGGCACGTAAGCATTAGTGAGACTTAAAACTTTCAGCTTAGTTAAAGGGGAAGAGAAATGTGTTGTATACCTAAGGGCTAAATAGGGAAACAAACTATAGGGCCCAGTGCAAGACACAATTAGGTTACCATAATAGATATTATGCTGCCTTCTCCCAGAAAAAAAGCTGTGCGACCAACATTCTACGTGATGGGATTCACGTTGGGATCGAGGCCATTACGATTCAGACGACTGCCCTTCCTGTTGTCGAACTCTCCAACCATGAGAAGGGCTACGCTAGCTAGTTCCCCAACAACCCCGGCCTCAAAAACAAGGGGCGACTTGGAAGTCAGTCTCAAGAAAGACTCAAGCTGAACAAGTGCTGCATCGCCAAGCCGATATTAAGAAGTCGTCTACGCAATGGAGGGGCAACGACGGATGGCAGATTGCAGTCCATCTTCACCATCCTTGCGTTCCGGGTAGTTAGTATTTACCACTGTCGTTGACGGCCAATGCGGACTCAAACAATCTGATGGGAATCCAAAGGGGTAAGAAAGCTCCGCCAAATCTCACTCACCAAGACATACGAATACTTAACACAACTGTAATGACGAACTGTAAAACTCTTGCATCACAATTTGGAGAGATGCATAAAATATATAGAAGCTAAATGTATATAAACTTCATTGCATGCATATCAGCTGAAATGTAAACCATTGAAAAAGTGTGTGTCAGCAAAGACAAGATGCATTGTGCAGAAGGAAAACCGTTAGCTGCATCAGTAGATTAAAATCTTGATGTATAATAATTATACACATATATAACTCGAGTATAAAACTCGTGTTCTGCGACAGTGCACTCAAACCGGGCAAAACTCATACATGGGGATGGTTGTAACTCCCTTGCTTAGTGAATACAGGTTAAATATGCACAAAAAGGTTTTTGTTTTCATGAACGTCATCTCTACAGTATGGTTGGTTCTAATTATTATGATACAAAAGACATCAAAGTGCTTTTCCAGACGAGCAGTTTTTCATTTGAAACAGCTGAATTCGATCACTTGTTCGTGTAACTAATACACACGACACTCAGGACTGACGGCAACTGCATATGGATCGTCAAATCTCATCATTCTTACCCTCTTGCCAAAAGAACTCCTGGTGATAGTACTTGACACGATTGGACTTATTCTCTACACATACACCCAGTCGTCAGGTCCCACAGCCACACTGAATATTGACAGCTTTGGTCGTGGCTCTGTATGAGCTATGACGAGAGGTAACAACCACTAGCATCAAAGATCGAACTGTTGTTGAGATGGCCGGCTACAACACGCTTCACATTCTATCCCTGAGGCATGTTTGTTGAAATTCGCCAGGCTTCGCGGGGCCCTTACTTCCAAGCTGCCATAAAGAGACAAGGTCGCTGTTGAGGAATTGTGACACGATTGTTGACGTGTCGCAGACGTAGACTCTGCTTGTTTCGCTGTTGGATATAGCAAACGATCAGTGTGGAAACTTCAGCGGTCCACTGCACTCTGAGCCCACAGACGCTATGAGCTCGCCCTCCCGAGTGAATTCTTTACACAAATGGCAGCGCTGCTACAAAGACTGTCTTATCAGGTGGAAGATGCTACTCCCAGTGCATCTCAACACATTCGGACAGAGACACTAGGTTATTCATCCCTGAACAAATGTAAATATGGCCCGAATATGGTATCCCTCGTAAACCGTATTGTTTTATGACATCTTAACCAGGAGCGGGGGTTCCACACGACAGTTGCAATTGCATACACACCCGGTGGGGGGCATTGCGCAATCAGTGCGTTCTGCAGTCATGCACATGCGCATTCAACTCTGCGCAGTATTGGAAAAGGATTGAAGAATGGGAGAAAGAATGGTAGGGGAAGGAATGGAATTCGTTGTAGAATGGAAATATGAATGGCCCTTCTTGGTATCCGCATACACAAGGAGCTCTCCTTTCCTGTCTCGGGTATCACTCAGTATTACCCCTCAGCGCGCATGCGCAGGTGAGGGATTCCCGGGTAGTTGGGTTAGTGTGTCGTGGTCTGTTACTTTCAATTCAAACTTTCGGGTTGTTGTTCGTCTCACAAAGGATACGAGTCCTTGCCGCTCCTACCGCTGTCCTCGTGTTTCCCTTTCTTCGAATCCATTTCTTCCTTGTCTACCGTTCTCTTGTGCCCCTAGTTCCCTGGCGTCTTGTAGTCGTCCTCTTGTCCTCTTACGTATTATCTCCCTTTTTATTCCCCATCACGCACACCCCCTCTCTCCCACCGGCCTAGGACTCTTCCCCTATCCTTTTTCTCTATCCTACCCCCCCTTCTTGTTATGTTGACCTCCTTTTTCCCTCCATTTATCGCCTTCCCCATGTATCTTTTGTGTTTTTTGTGTTTTCCCCTGCTCCATTGTCCTCCCCTCCCTTTCCACCCCATACACAGTCCTGTCTCGTAGGGCACTTCTTCCTTTCCTTTTTTGGTTTGCTTTTGTTTTTCCTCCTCTTCGTTGCTATGCCCCGGTCCTCCTTAGATTTTCTTCTTGGTATCCGCATTACAAGGAGCTCTTCCTTTCCTGTTATCGGGTATCACTCATTATTAACCCTCAGCGCGCATGCGCAGTGAGGGTTACGGTAGTTGGGTTTGTGTGTCTGTGTGTCTGTTACTTTCAATCTCACTTCTCGGGTGTTTGTTCGTCTCACAAAGGATACGACCTACTTAACGGGCAATGAAGGTCAGAATATATGTGCGGTTTTCTCTGAAACTGCTCCGTTGCAGAGCTACAGCGCGAAAAAGCCAATATCCAAATACACAACGGACGGGATAGCTTATAACGGTCTGATCGATCCTCGTGCTCTGCGTACCTCACAGGCACCAGACGATGCAACACAGGGCGCGTATCGCCTCTCGCATGCTATCTAGTAGTGTAGTTAGCCCGCGTCATACTCTGCGCGAGCTGGCAATTTTAAGAGACCGCTAAAGCTAAACCCAGCCCGTCAATTAGTGGTACGGCGCATGCGTTTACTTACGCCTGAGCGTCACAATGCGCCGAGGGTTTGCACTTCAGTGCTTTTCTTATTTGAGCCTCATAGTACATGAAGAAAAGGACAAGAAACAAAAAAAGGACAGGCATACAGACTTTTTAACATGTACTGACGGAACACCAACAAAGTGTTGGTGACCTAGGTGGTAGAGTAATTAGTTGCTATTGATAAGCTAACACACACAGAACATGGGCAAATATAGTGAAATGTACATGGAGTCGTACTCATAAAATTAGATTCAAAATGTGACCAAAATACTTCAAGAATTTGATTCCGAATGGTAAGAATAGAATGATCAAGGTGGGAGAGAGTTCCAGAGCCATGGGAGTCTGTGTGTAATGTTGGATTTACAGAGGGAATGTATCAGCTTCAGGTTCCACTTTTGGCCCCATATAGAGACAAGCGAAGGAGGTCATTTTGGACAGTCAGATGGAGTGGAAACTTTCTCTAGACACTTGGCATCATCAGCAAATAGAAATAATATGAGAACAACCAATAGAGGATGGAATATCGTTGACGAATATTAATAACAATAGAGGACCCAAAATACTTCCTTGCGGTATTCCTGAGATAACTGGAAGGTGGTAAGAAATTCAGCGATTGAGTGTAACGTAGTATTAATTCAGTTACTAGTACCGTCCATAGGGCAGTGTAGAGTGAGCAGGACTATATCTAGTTTCTTTATGAACGAGGAAAGAGAGGGCCAACTGAGTCCTATCACAGCCTATCCACATTGTATGACAAGGAAACACTTAGTATCAATTCAATTATGTGTGGTATGCATTCTTTCATCCTTAACCCACGCTTATATATTATAGCTACTCCATTTCCGCATTAGATGGTAAAGAGAACTACTATGTAGCTCATCTCCCTACTCTGACATCTAGTGTCACATCAGCTGGCTCTGCGACTCAACGCATTTGGCATGAGCTTCTTCCCATGCACACCTCCGGTGGAACACCCCAGTCTATTAGGCCTCCAGGGACACTTGCTATTGGTAGGAGGAGAGGGGTATATATGTATATACAGGAGATCCATCACTATGACCAGGTGACTAGTCAATGGATTGTGTGTGGACAATTACGAGTTGGAATGGAGGCTCCGTGCTGTACTGTTCTACCATCTATAGCGACCTGATGGTAGTTGGAGGAATGGGCAGAGACACAAAGTCATACTCCAAGAGAACTTGAATAGCAAACGTTTAGAATTTCATTTGCTACCTTTTATATATTGTCAAGTTGAGGTGAAATACACATGAGCAGATTGTGAGTGTCTTTGTTGAGCATTTTTGTGCGCATCCAAAAAGTGAGAGAGCACTGTTATCTAATTTGCTAAGAACTTGACCAGGTTGAAGGTGGAGCCCCAAGAACCTTTTCTGGTGACAACAAAACTGAACTGCCAACTAAACTGCCTCCATAACGGAGACAGAATAATCTAGAATAAAGTTTGGCAAGTCTGGCTATGGCTCTCTTTTTAAGTGAGAATTTACCAATGCTGTGCATGTGGTTGACATGGAGATAGGTTTGTGTACGTAAGCACTCTGTATTAGTTGTAACCTCAGCTACTATGACGGCACTAGACTGCTCCACTAAGGTCCATACTGTCAATCCAATGTAATGTCGTGTTGTGCAATCTCGTATGTACAAAGAAGCTTAATTGTTCAGGTTCCCCAATTCATTGACATAATCCCCTATTATATTAGGCACACACATTATAAATGTGGAGTATAATAACCACTGTAAGCATAATATATCCTGCACAGCAGTATTTGTGACACGCGTACATTGTCCAGAAATTACCATCAACCAATAACACCCTCCTGTAGCTTTGCGAAGTTGATGAAAACCTGCAGTCCAGAATGACAAACAAAGCTACCACATGTCTGACATGCAGTGTCCTACCTGATCGAGGGTGGTCTGACTGACAGAGTAGTCAATGATACCAAGTCTGTCCTTGTTGGCCTCCAGTTGACGGAACACTGAGGACCACGTCAGACCAGCACTGGGCAACTGGTAGGTCACTGAGCCCTGGAGAAAACACAGTCCAACTATACTGTGACACACTCACATTCTTTTTGTGTTAGTGGTCACACTGCTTTGAACCCATACTTATAGTCATGCTGGTGTTCCTCTAGAGCAAAGCTGCAGGGAAATTCTACTCTTATATATATAATATATATATGACTCCAGCCTTTTGAGGCATATCAGTGGCCTATCACACAGTGTTCAGCCCATACTTTAGAACAAATGATTTTTGGCTAGTGAGCGCAAGCAATTCAAGTTTTCAGAATTACCTTCAACTATTCATGTGCACCATAATAATATTATTAAAAATCGAGTAGAACATGCCCTTAATAGAATCATTTAGCCCTAGGTAGGCACACCTCGCTCGCCAATCATAAAGACGCACCTGGTGTTCCTCCATGAGCAAAGCTCCGGGGAATTTCTGCTCTATGAAGTATTTAAGAGCAGTAGTGTATTGACTCACCTGTACTTCCCACACTGTCTGTTCCCATACTTTGCGAGGTCCAT